AAAAACGTTCCCCTTACCAGAGAATTCTTGTACAAGTCATTCTGAATTGAGGAAGCTGGTTGGATGACAAGTGAAACGTCTTCAAGAAAAATGCAGCAAGTCCAGTTGACTTGACTTATTTTTTACAGATATACCATGACATGGATGAATGAGAACCTTCACAGACATGTTCCCCTTACTATGCTACTGTGTTTACAGAATATCAAGTTGTAACAGAAGGATGCTTGTAGTATACTCATTGCAAATAGATATTTTTGTACGGACCTAGTAAATACTGTTATTGAGAACATAAAAGCGGAAGCTATTACAACAGATCACGCTTATAATGCAGATTGCAAAGATTTACAGAAAATACCGCTATGCTCTCAGCATTTCGTTCAATTCATTATTGATTGAACAATAAATGTGTTGAGAGATGAATTGTAAAATGAAACAATAGTCATCAATTTTATTAGTTTGCTGTATCTCTATTTATTGATAGTGACAACAGCAGGGACCTCCAATAGTGTTGTAGGATGGCATTTTCAAAGCACAGTAAAAAACACGTTCACTTGTTTTGAGAAAAAGAGGTGACATCAAAGTGGTTGGAACAGACGGGCCTTTGTCATTATTTCTCTGAATGAGAGATGGTTGAGCAAATTGAACTGGAAGGTAAAGGATGTTTGTGTAAATGTATAGTGGCAGCTCAATTAAGCGTGGGACCTTGTGTGTGCCATTTTTGTCTTTTGAAGATTATGATTTCTTCAAGAACACTCTCCAGCAAAGAGCTCAATATTGAAGTCACCATGGTTATAGCACTTCTTGAAACGACAGATTTTCAAGCATTAAGCATGGTCAGTTAAGTTGTAATACAGCAACAAAACAGTTATTTTGAAGGTGAGACTGACTTTGTATTACACTGGCAATTGCCACAAATGAATTGACAAGCAAGTATATCTGTATTAGAGGGTCACTTTCATGAAAAGTGTCGTATTTTGATAACTGTATGTAGTGAGTACTGTAGTGATAGCATACTGTTTATTTATTCCTTTCCTTATTTCAAACCTTTATTTCTATTTGTTTCCACATTTGCATGCAGATCAACCTGTCCATCCATAGTGACAATGACAGAGGATGTATCAAACTATAACACTGCCAGTGGTATCATAGCAGTTTCTGCAAAGTTTCTTTATTAAGGTGATATTAAAGGAGAACTATGAGGTGAGTGCTTTTCATTCACCTCATAGTTTTAGCCGACCTGCGACAATGAGACTGTCACAGGTCGGCTCAGTAGATCGGGAGGTGAGCGAACACATACCGGCGTTCGCTCACCTCTCGTTCCTGTCACGGCTCTCTGCCGTGACAGGGGAGGGGCTGGATTCCCCCTCCCCGCTCCGATCCGCCAGCGCTGACTGGCGGAACGGACGGGGGAGGGGGCGGGTACAGCTGGCTCTGCCTCTAGATAGGCAGAGCCAGCTGTCAGTCACGCAGCTGGGCGGATCCCGGCACAATTGTTGGGATCCGCTTCAGCTGCGGCGTTTCAGTATACCGCGAGCAGCAGCTGGCGGTATACTGAGCCTAGGGTGATGGGAGGACGCTAGTTTGTGTCCTCCCGTTACCCTAAGGAGAACTATGGGGAAAAGCCTTAACCCCATAGTGCTCCTTTAATGTCAAAATGTTTTTAAGCTATTTTAAATGCTGATTAAATCAGTTACAATGGATGCTACTCCTTGATGTTTAAACGTTTTAGCTTCCTGCTGAATCAGCTGGTTCCCTGAGATCTGGCCCTAATATCTTGTTTTAGGGTGGCTCCTTTACCTTGCAGGATCCTATGGAGCCACTCTTGTGTGTGCTAGTAAGCTGTGTGTGTCTCCGCATACACAGCCAGGCAAGCCGCTCCCATGCTCGCAACTCTTCTTTCCTCCCTTCTCCATGCTAGTAGATGGAGAGATGCTGGAGTCTGTGCTATCCCTTGTGATCTTTTACTGGCCAGGAAGTTCAGGGAAGCTGAGCTGAGAGAGTTGGAGACAGCTGTTTGGAAACATGATGATTGCAAGTGTTTGGGCAAATACTTTGCTGGGCAATGTATATTTGCTTGATCTACATTCATTATTCAAAAAAAGTTTGAGAGTTTCGTACTACTTCAATCATGTCAATAAAATGTGGCCATTGTTACCCCTCCTCACCCCTTCCTTGGAGCAGTTAGTATTTCCTACAGCTACTCTGCCTTCTGTATCCTCCCTTTACCTTAATAGACTGTAAGCTCTTCAGCCTTTTGTATTCTCCCTTTCACTTTAATAGAACATAGGAAGTTCTTCTGCCTTCTGTATCATCCTCTTATACCCTAAAGGATTACTAAAGGTTTGACGTTTTTTACCCTAATACATTATCTGTACCATGGTAAAAAAAAAACATCCAGCACCTTTTTGAGACCCCTGTCCCCCTCCACACTTACCTGTCAGCGTCGCTTATCGCCATTACCGAAGTGATCCTCCGTCTGAACTTCCTGTTTGCGAGGGAGGAGATTGAGGGCAGAGAAGCCACTGGTGATGGCACCGCTAGCACCGCCTAGTTGTTTACATTTGGACGGTAGCTGTCATCTAGCAGTGTGTGTTCGGCAGATGTGGATGGGTCGAAGGGCGTCAGGGCTTTTTTTTATTTCAGCGAGTTGGCATAGTCATTAACAGTGTTGGACGCCGTGATTGACGTGGATTACTTAGGGTTTTTTGGGGGGGGAGGGGTTTCAATAAAGGAACTGTCAAAAAATGTTGTGTTGTTTTTTTCAATGAAAGGACTTTTTCAAAAGCGTGGTCTTTGCATTTACAACTTTATTTAACCCGTTGGTGAATAAGTAAGGGTACAAGTACGCCTTATTCATTCACAAGGGGGGGCAGCATCTGGGTTCCTCCTTTATTAAAAGGGGTACCCCGACGCAAATAAGCCCCCCTGCCCGCAGACGCCCACAACCACCGGGGGAGGGTTGTGGGGAAGAGACCCTTGTCCCCATCGGCACAGGGACAAGGTGCTTTTCCAGGGGGGACCCTGGAAAAGCACCCTCCAATACCGAGGGGCTGGTGGCCTGGTATAGCAGGGAGGGGGGGTGCACTCGCTCGTCCCCCCCTTTCCTGCCCTGCCAGGCCTGTGCTCGCACTGGTTGGGAAGTTTAGGGGGGGCCATGTTTTTCCCCCCATTTTTCGGGGGGTGGGGGGGAATTCCTACCAGACCTACGCTGGGGTTTTTCCCCTACGGGGACCCCATGCTGGTTTTTTTCCCTTTTATTAACAAGTTTTTTTTTTGTGCTCGCTACTCGTAGGTAGCAAGCAGAATAACTAAGCTGAATGCCGTTGGGCGGCATTCGACTATTCACTCACTGCTGTTTGGCCCCTTTGAAAATAGGGGCGAACGGCAGCGAGTGAGCTGCCCAAAGTTTGGCTCAACTGATCCAATGTTGAGTGGAACACCTTCTTCACTTCGGCTCAGTCGAACATGCTGAGCATGGACTCAAAATCAACCCTCAAACCTACTGCCAGTTTAGAAGACACTTTCTTCAAGCAGTGGTACAGGAAAAAGTCTGCATCTTTCAAGAAGACCATGATATTTATGGAGGACAATGCTCCATCGCATGCATCGAAGTACTCCACTGCGTGGCTAGCCAGTACAGGCCTTAAAGATGACAGAATAATGACATGGCCCCGTTCCTCACGTGACCTAAACCCTATTGAGAACTTGTGGGCTCTTCTTAAACGGGAGATTTACGGTGAAGGAAAACATTACACCTCTCTGAACAGTGTCTGGGAGGCTATGGTTGCTGCTGCACAAAAAGCTGGTCGTCAACAGATGAAGAAACTGACAGACTCCATGGATGGAAGGCTGATGACTGTTATTGAGAAGAAGGGGGGCTACATTGGTCACTGATTTTGTTTTGAAAATGTCAGAAATGTTTATTTGTAAATTTTGAGTTGTTTGTTTATTATTCTCACTTTAGCAGATAAAAATAAACAAGTGAGATGGGAACATGTTTGTTTTCCATTTAGTTGCATAATAATCCTGCACAGTAATAGTTGCCCAATAAGTGTGCACACATAAATGTTCTCCTAAGAAAGCCACAACCTCACTTTTACTTTCTTAAACATTCAGGGTTGAGGTCTATTAGGATTGTGGATTGACCGAGTGCACTGTAATTGTTCAATAATGAAATGAATCCTCAAAAATACAACTTGCCTAATAATTGTGCATGCAGTGTAGTATGTAAAGACATTTGCGTGATTAACACACGGGTAATGAATAAGCACTCCTGGGTTCCAAAAATGTCAGAACTTGTTTATTGACATCCAATCAGATCTCACAATGGAACGCACAACGGTTCCTTCTTCAGGCAAAACAAAGTAACACATGGGGACACAGATTAGTTAGTTGTAAACTGACTGCACTTTAATGGCAACTTTGCACACGATTATTGATGAATATTTTGCACTGCTAGCTTTGATATTGATGGCATTGTAGTACTTTATAGTTATTATTTGTATCACAGCGCTTTATAATTTGATAAAACAAACAAAGAAACACACGAGTACTACAACCTGTTGGAGTCTGGGGACGTGACAACGTTGCACTGTTTCAAACGAAGTCAGTCTATGGGATAGTGACGCAATGGAGGGAATTTATCAAAACTGGAGCAGACAAAATCTGGAGCAGATTTGCACTGCAGCCAATCAGCTTCTCTCTCTCATTTTCAAATGTTACCTAGGCAAATTGCAGAGAGAAGCTGATTGGTTGCCATGGGCAACTGCTCCAGATTATGTCTGCTCCCGTTTTGATAAATTGCCCCAAATGTGCCTGGTCTACTATTGGCTCCTCCTATTGCCACGCCCACAACCCAAGGCTCCCCGACATCTAAAAGTTCCCAGCATAAGAAGTCACATGACGCCTCTGGCGCTGTACCCTTCTGGCCGCTCGCCGTGGTAGACTCTCCTCCCAACCTGCAGAGGTCACTGTGGACTTCGTACACCGCAGCCTGGAAGCTGGCTGCACTCTGCTTGCTGGTCTCGTTGATGACAGTCGGGCTGTGGAGTTGTGTGCTCCAGGTGAGGCGGGAGGGAGTGTGTTCTATAGGCAGTGTATGGAGGAACGTCCAGACATGAGACCGTTACCGTGTGCTCATTGTACACCAGCATTCCTCCACGATGCACCGCTGAGTCTGTTTGTTAGTAAAATACTTCTGGCGCACATTGCTACAGTAATGCAATACGTGTGAGTGAGTGCACAGGAATATGAGGCTGTATTGTGGCACTATAAATCCCAGCGTGCCCGGTGTCACTATATGCTGACATGTTGGTGACAGGATGGTAACCTGTGACCCACTCTGCCAGTACTGTGGTGTCAGACATGTGATCAGTACAGAGGGCAGTGTCAGTGTTGTAGAGTCGGGATCCAGGAGGGTCGCACATCTATACTTAGCCGCTGTCACTTGGCCCAGGTCGGCCCCCATGAGTGTTTTTAGGCGTTTGTGAAAATTTATTTGTGCGTTGTCCAAGCTTCACCAGTTTTTATTTGAGCCAATAAAAACCTAGATACCAGGAGGAGGAGAGCTTAGGTGTGAAATCATGAGAAACGTGTCTTGTGTATTTTGGGTGCTCCCGTTCAAGTCTATGGGGACACCATTCTTCATGAATAAAGCGCATGTGTTTTTTTCAGGCAACACTAAAATGAATGGGATTCTTCATGTTGAGCGTTGTGCTGCTTCACATGGAATAGAAGACTCAGGTGTGAATTGGAGATTAAAGTGACACTAAACGCAGGAGTTAAATCTTAAAAATACATTCAAGTACCTTAACTATTAACAAAAATGTACTTTTTATTGGGGGGGATCCATGCAGGGAGCTGTGGCTGACAGTCACTGCTCTCTGCAAGGAGATGATCGAGAAGCGCCGGTATGTGTTCACTCACTTTCCCATCTATTGAGCCGACGTGTGACAGTTTCATTGTCACACGTCGGCTCGAGCTATGAGGATGAGTGATTTTCACTCACCTCATAGTTCTTTAAATTAAAGTGCGACTAATGCCAAAACCTTTTTCAGTCTTGGATAGAGTGAAGAGGGATTACAACACTTGTCAGGAACTCTTCCACTGCGTACACTAGTTCTGGGTGACTCAGCTGATCACAAGGGTTTCCCCTCACTTTGGAAAGATCTCCTCTCACGTCATGTTGTGGCTATCGGACAAGAAGTGAAGGAAAATCTCCCCAATGGGACACAGATGGCAAAAAAAGCTGACTGGGGTCAGCTTAACTACCTCCTGGCCAGACGTTTTAAAAAAATGGCCGGCCGGGAGCTCTGTAGATCAGACACCTTCCCCCTCGTGCGCGCTGCCCGATATTTAAAAACAGGCAATGATACCCGTTAACATACAAGCAATCCGCCGTCTATAGAGCCGACGGATCACTTGTATTGGGTAACGATCGGTGCCAACCCCCCCTCCGTGGTCCGCTTCTCCCCCGTTGTTGTCCCGCTGTTCCATGGCTCCGCTGTGCCCGGTGCGAGCCCTGGATCAGCATGGTGCCTGTGTCACAGGGGATCGGAGGGAGATCAGTACACAAGCTCCCTCCGGTCCCCTCTCCGCTGCAAGAATGCGGAAGTGTTGTATAATACATCACTTCCGCATTCTTTTCACTCTCAAGATTCAGAAGCTGGAAAGAAGCTGATGGAGCAGATCTGTGCTTCATCAGCTTCTTTTGGGGGGTCCTAGGTGACATTAGGGGTCTTGGAGACCCCTGATGTCTCCATAAAGAGGACCTGTCACATATTTTGCTATCACATAGGTGGGTTTTATTAGCCCCCTATGTGATAGCAATAAAGTTTAGTGAAAAAAAATAGGAAATAAAAAATAGTTTCCCCAAAAAAAATTTAAAGTTACACAAAGAATAAAAAAACAAAATTTTTTTTTAAAGTCCCCACCCATACATACATGTATGGGTTGGGGGCGCATACGTGCAAAAAAGACGATTGCGCCCATTACGCCGCACATGTTACATATCGCCACGAACGTCGCAGTGAGAGCAATAATTCTAGGCCCATCAATCACTGATAACACTAAACTGATGAGTGGCAAAAGCGGGTGCGCGCAATTTTAAAGCTTGACATGTTTGGTGTCTATTTACCTGACGTGACCCCGTCTTTTATATTTTACCAAAAAACTGGTTATTAATAATTGTTTCCTAACATTATGTAAAAAAAATGTTCAAAATGTTCAGTAATATTTCCTAAGTATAGTAAAAAATTAAACCCGCAGTGGTGATTAAATACCACCAAAATAAAGCTCTATCTGTCCCCAAAAAATTGTATAAAATTAATTTCAGTACAGCGTTGCATGACGGAATAAATGTCAGTCAAAGTATCGCAGCGCTGAATACTGAAAAATGGCCTGGACAGGAAGGGGGTCTAACACCGCGGTCAGCAAGTGGTTCTAAGAGGAGGGAATAAGAGGCTGAAGAAGTCTGCTTTGACAATAATATTGTAGCTTTACTAGAATTATGCAGAAAAGGTAGAGGAGACATCACCTCCAACTTAGGCGACATCATCTTCACACCTAGGCGTTTTGTCGTGTAAAACTATGTTCAACAAAACACTCAAAACAAGAAATCCCATTCATTCCTATGGCCTGATGCTTGAAAACGTACATGAGCTTTTTTTTGGCAGTTATACCCAAAACTAAAAAAAGGTTTTGGTGTCACTTCTAAATTGTGTCATCTTGTGGCACTTCAATAAAGTTTTATAAAAGTAAACAGGAAGATGCTTTGTAACAACATATCACAGCACCCCTACACAATGGACACCAGCCCGCACTGGTTTTAGTGTGAACGAGCCCTGATTGGATTATTCACAATGACATTTATGATTAAGATTGAACACGGCAGTAAGCCAGATGCATGCATTGCTAATAGTCTGTGAATGCAAGGTTGTCCCTAAGCCCCCTTTCACACCTGGCATCATCTGTTCATCTAACAGCGCTTGTGCCAAGTAAAAGTTTATAAAGTGACAGTTTACTGGGATCATAAGGTGGCAGGACACAGCTTTAGCTTCCCTGTGCACTGCACCCCCAGAGTGTCTGTGCAAGTACTGGATTCTGGAAGATCGGTGCATGACCTAACGATGGGCCCATGTATTGTCACTTGGAAGGTGTGGGGAGTGCCGGTGTCCTTATTTTCATGAAGCATGGCTTTGCATAGGTACAATGAAACTATAGAGGCATAACCTGGTGCATGATTTTGCCTGCTGTCCTATTACCGTGGGTTTTTTTTAAGACTGAATGTTCACCCAAAGTACCTGCAGCCCTGGAAGCAGGTACTTGAAGGTAAATTTAGAGAGCTTTAGCTGTAATTTCACTATCGGACATGAACTTTTGCGCTTACCACCCTCTGTGCACACAATTTCCTCAAGCTGCTCTGACAGATTTCCTTATCCACGTACTCGCACCATCTTGGATACTGTCACTCGTAGCTGTTTTTTCCTGGGCAAGAAGAGGGTACCCTGATGGCACTGAAGGAAGGATCCAAAACATTCATACTTTTGACCTAATAGTTTATGTTCTTGTTGACCCGTTTTGGGTGATTAAAGATGAGGGAATAGGAGGCTGAAGAAGTCTGCTTTGGCAATAATATTGTAGCTTTCCTAGAATTATGCAGAAAAGGTAGAGGAGACATCACCTCCAACTTAGGCGACATCATCTTCACACCTAGGCGTTTTGTCGTGTAAAACTATGTTCAACAAAACACTCAAAACAAGAAATCCCATTCATTCCTATGGCCTGATGCTTGAAAACGTACATGAGCTTTTTATTGGGCAGTTTACAGCTCGCGGTATACTGAGACACCGCAGCTGAAGCGGATCCCGACAATTATGTCTGGATCCGCCCAGCTGGGTGAGTTGACAGCTGGCTCTGCCTATCTAGAGGCAGAGCCAGGTGTACCCGCCCCCTCCCCCGTCCGCTCCGCCACTCAGCGCTGGAGGAGGGGGGAATCCAGCCCCTCCCCTGTCACGGCAGAGAGCCGTGACAGGATCGAGAGGTGAGCGCACGCCGGTATGTGTTCGCTCACCTCCCGATCTACTGAGCCGACCTGTGACATTCTCATTGTCACAGGTCGGCTAGAACTATGAGGTGACTGAAAAGCACTCACCTCATAGTTCTCCTTTTTAAAGCAAAACAATTCTTAGGGGGATGATATTTTATTGACCGGAATAAACTGCTTGTCCAACTCATCGCATTTCATCCTAATTGCAATGGTCAGACGCATTGTGCTCCGTGTTATGTTTTTTATGCATGTTTTTCCATTTCATTCACATTTATTGCAATTCAGTAATATTGTTTAAAACTGTTAGATGATCAGCATAAACTGTTATTATGACATCCAAACAGTTATACGTTGTTTTCATTATTGTTCTTTTTGTTGGTTCTTCTAGTTTATACCGACCATAAAAGTATCAGCACATCGAAATACAGCACTTACTGCAGGTAGTTTTCTTTATAATTTGATTGTGTCCTAAACCTGTAACTGTTTTCCATTTTTATGTTTGCTCTCACTTGTTTCTCAACAGATGCTCAGCACCTATGTAATATATGCAGTTTTTGTATACATGAAGCCAAGCAAGACTATGCAATTCAAAATGTATTAAAACAATTCTTCTGGTGCAGATGGTTTTCATACTTAGTGTGGGTCCCCATCACTTGTAATAGTTGAATATCATTTCTGCACTAACCTTTTAGTAATCCTTGTATATTTGGGATATTTCCTATAATACAATATGTAGATTCATCTGTGGTGTGCTTACCTTTTAACATAGTGTATATATTTCCACCAGAATATGGCACTGAAACAGATTTCCAGCAATAAATGCTTTGAGGGTTACCAGAAAGTCTTTGAACATGACAGGTAAATATGTTCACATTCTTCATCTTTTGAGCATCCAGACAAAATCTGGAGCAGCTGTGCATGGCAACCAATCAGCTACTATCTTTCATTTTAAAATCTTAACTGAAGAGAGAAGCTGATTGGTTGCCATGGGCAACTGCTCCAGTTTTGATAAATTCCCCTCATTGTACTTTAACATATTAGACTCGTGACCAAGCTTATGTTATACTATTCAAACAGCTTAAAGTGACATTAAACCCTCAGATTTTTTTAACATAAACCAATACTGTAATGTGTGCCTTACTGTAATCCATGGTTGTTTCCCTTCTCTTTGCTGCTCTTCCTTTTAAATCCTCATGTCTTCTCATGCTTGGGGAGAACTTTCCTTTGCAGCTGACTGCCTCTTCCTGTAGTGCTGGCTCAGGTTATGAACCTTCACACAGACACCATGTATCCATTTCAGAGACAAGGCAGTCTGCTGCAAAACAGAAGTTCTGCCCAGCATGAGAACAGATACAGATTTAAAAGGAAGAGCAGCAAAGAGAAGGGAAACAACCATGGATTACAGTAAGGAACACATTACAGTATTGTTTTATGCTAAAACATCTGAGGGTTTAATGTCACTTTAAGCAGTATCTGTGTTTTTAACATTTTTACAGACGCATTACACTGGAAGGGAGTTGCAGCTTATGAGCTGTGTACAGTAGCCATACACATTGCAAATACATTTAACCTTCCACTATACCTGCCTCATAGATATGAATATAGAAACATGGTGCATTGTTTTTGCATATGAAAGCTGGTTAAAATTGCTACAAAAGTATCATCTAAAACCAGCAGATGACTGACAAAATTGCTGTTTTAGAATGAGTGACTATTACCTGTGCTTACAGGAATTATCGGCACCTCCTATGACCTATTCATAGCAGTGCTTTCATAGTTCTGGATCCTTACTACTTCTTCATAGCAATAGAAACAGAAAGAAGTTATACACTGCCTATACTCAATACTGAGTGCATCTTAAGGACCAAGGCATCCATTATCATTCCTAGGGGTATATACTGTAAATGGCAATCCTAAGGGCTTGTGTAGATAGGTAAATGGAACATGCTTTTAGGTGCATTCATCTTGCATTTGAAATCCGTTTTAGATGCTTCTTGGCTCCATCACTGGTGCCTCTGACCTTCATATGACTTCCTTTTAAGCCGCATCAAGACACTTTTGCATTCCGATTGACTTGTATGGGGAGAAAAGCAGTTCTAATGCAATAGCCTGTATGCACACGGCCGTAGTTTTCTACAGTATGATGAAATTACATTTCCGTTTGTCCTAAATCTTATGCCAGTGAGAAAAATCATGGCTTTACTAGATTAAAAAGCTGTCCTATAAATATCAAATTAGCTTGTAAATATCCCTTTTTTCTTTTGTGTACTCTTGGATTAGTTATTATTTATGCTCTATATTTCATATATTTAAGACACTACACATCTAGTCCAAGTTTGAGATTTCAGAACTTCTTTGGGTTCTGTTCTTGGTAAGGTGTAAATGTATACATTCTATTATTTGTGATAACATAGAAGCAAATGTTCCTCAGACTTTTTTCAGCATAGTTGAAGGTCCTTGGAAAGGATATATATTAATTCTTACCAATATGCTTCTTCCAAATAGCACGGAACTCAAGTGTAAAATGAGATTTGCCATCTATTTACCCCCTAAAGCTGAAACTTCCAAATGTCCAGTTGTATACTGGCTTTCAGGTATGTATTCCTGAAGCATTTTCTTCGTTTGTGTTTTTTGCAAAGGGCACTAAAGTAATATGTTTTTATATCTGATGTTAAATATTCGACATAACCGCCTCATTGTATAGTATGCATCCTCTAGTACAGGGCTCAAAATTTCCACTCGCCTGCTTGCATTTGGCGAGTGGAAATTCAGTCGGGCACGCGGTCATGGACAACGTACCTGACCAGCTTCTCCTGGCTGTGCTGGCTCTGTGGATTAGTAAGGTCTGCAACACACCTTACTAATCACCACTGGATCACCAGGGATCGTGCCTCCTCCCTACAAAAAGGCAAGCAGATGAGGGGGCTCTATATTTTATTTTGTGTGGGGGGCGAGGAACGAGGGGAGAGTAAATTATTTTGTGTAGGGAGACAGACAACAGGGGGAATGTATTTTTTTTTTGGGATGGGGTGGCAGAGAACAGGGGGGAATTTATTATTTTAAGTGTGGGGCGGGCA